AAAGGTAGGCAGCTGCCCACGTGTTAACCTGGGTTTGGATGGTTGAAAAAGCAACGGTGTAGATTGATGGTTAAAAAACCAATGTTTTAGACTATAATTATGCCCCAATGGCTCCCATCGGAGACATTTTCTGGAAGTTCAACTATATGAATTATCAATTTCATTAGTCACTTGGGCTACATGGAAATGTTAGCATTTTGTGACTGTGCAATTCTTGTATGTCCTTTAACCATGAACTAGAGAGAACATCCTGGTGAAGCAGAAAGGAAGAAAAGAATCTGAATCACTGGGTTTTCCAGTGATTGCAGAACTATCTTCTGCCTAATTTATTCCCAAGCTTTCACTGACTTCAGAAAGGTCCTGAAGCTCAGGCATGGTGTGCAGTTCCCAGAAATGCAGATGCTGTGCAACTAAAGCAGAAGAGCATGGGATCTGACTCACAAGGAAGGAGGTGCTGATGTTTCCTGGACCCTGGAAAAAGGGCAGGGGTCAAACAGAGGTGTTGCAGCAGTCCAGATGTGTGTGCAGATACCCAGTCATGTAGGCTGGGAGGGAGGTCCCTACATACCTGTATTTCTTTCCTGTGGCATCAGGAGCTGTCAGGGAAAAGGAAGAGCTTGGAAAGAGCAGCTAGCATACATGGCTCTTTATCACCAGGCATGCTGGGTATACAGGTATACAGGGATGCTGTAAACAATTTAAAGCCAACCATTTTTTCTACCACATTAGCCATCTCTGTCATTTGCTCAGACTGAAAGTTTGCTCTTTATTGCAAAGCATTTGCTGTAGCAGTACCCAGTTTTTCAGGGTTTTGGAAGACTGGGCTTTATTGCAAAGCATTTGCTGTAGCAGCACCCAGTTTTTCAGGGTTTTGGAAGGCTGGATTGTTTCTGTCAGACAGGTTAAAGCTGATAAGAACATTTCCTATACACCAACCGGGCATGCAGTTCTTTTTAAAACCAAGTGCAGTTCCTTTTGTGATCACTAAGTGGTGAAGTTCAGCTACAAGGACTTAACCACAGTGTCTGCAATCTTGTGGAAAGTTCTATTAATGACTTGTTTCAAAATTTTAGCAGAGCTAAGATGAGGACATCAGCAAAGCCTGTAATGAATATCTGCAGAGGTCACTAGCACCCTGCTAGGAGACTCTGTTGCAAAAGGACATAGTCCCATCAAATCTTCAATGGTTTTTTTTTCAGTTTTGTATGTTTTGAGAGGATGGCAATCAGAAAATAAATGTTTGTGTGTGAATCTCCATTTCAAGGCTGGCAGTTTTCCCTCTGACTTGGTCTAGAGCATTAGTCCAGAGACTGTTGGAGCTATTTGTATTGCTTAATAGCTGTAAAATGACCAGGCAAATCCCACAAGAACAATTTTTTCATTGATTTCACACTTTGATCAGGCCAGAATGCTCTTTCAGAAATTTTGCAGGAAAATGCAAAATAACTCAAGGAAAGGAAAATAAGATGCCTCAAAGGAAAAAGATAATGGTATGAATCAATTGCTGTTTGCAGACTGATGGAAATGAATTACTGAACCTACTTAAAAGCACATCCAGAATGTTTCTTTACAGGAATACTGATACATGTGCTGTTAAGTTTTCAGATTATCACTTGGGAGGAGAAAAGGAACTGTAAATGTGTAAGCAATCTGAGAATTTTTGTGTCATTATACTTTGGGCCTGTTGGTTTCCCCCAACCTAGCTGCATGAATTTATGCAGCCATTCAACTGGAAGAAAACATTTTTATTGCTATCATAGTCATCTAGAGTAGTAAGAATTTGCAAAAATGTAAGCCACCTCATGAGAGAGCAGAAACATGAAACAGTTTACCAGTAGAAGTTTGATTAAGAAATGAGGTCTCACTGGCTGGCTGCTCACTGTGCAGTGTGTGAGCCACCGCTGGGCTGAGGGTTTGGCTGGTTTCAGCAATGTGATCACAACCCACAGAAAGAGGGAAACACAGGCATATAAATGACAAAGCAAAAAGGCACAAAAACAATGACTCGAAGCACTTGTGTGACTTATTTTTATGTCATCTCAGGTGAAGGAGGAGAGGAAGGTATGTGCTTTTGTGATGGCAGCTCTGTCTTTCCAAGGAAAAGGCTGGGGAAGGACCATAGACCTCTGGAGATGAGAGCAACCTCAATGGAGGAAAGGGCAGACCAAGGCTCTGCTTTTTCCCTGAGGCAACATATGACCTAGACTCTGGGTTGGACTATTTGCCTGCTCTGGTCTCCTTTACCTAGGAAAAGGGTTGTGTTACAGCACCATCAGCAGCTCCTGGGTCACCACAGATTTACATGAAGGGTGCAGACCCCTAACTGAGTCTTCTGAGTTACATGTTGGGGAGTTACATTTGCACTACTCATTGCAGCATGACTATTGACCTGAGCTACTTTCCCAGAGCTCAGGTCAGGGCCAGGGTGGCCTTTCTTCCTACAACCCACAGACACTGGATGCTCAGCCAGCTTAGAAATCTGTGCTGGGATTTAGGCATTTGTGGAAACCTAGCCTTATAGAAAAAGTGCATGTGAAAAACCCGTCACCTCTCTCTGTTTAGTAGCCCAGCTGGGAAATCTTCAGTTTCTGGCTCTGACGTTTGTTGTCATGTCCCCTGAATATTTTTGTTACTCAGCTGAGTGCCAGAGGGGCAGGAGGTTTTTACAAGGTGCCTCTTACTGTACTTGCAGAGAGTGGGAATGTCCCTAGAGTAAGAGCGAAGTGTATAAAAAAGGGGAAGTCGCACTCAATGGATCAGTCGCTCACTCATCTCACTGAGTGCACAGCTAAGATGATGATGGTCACTTGCCTGCTTCTCTCCAGCCTCTGGACCATTGCCTCAGGTAACTCCCTTATCTGTCTGCATGTCTGTATCATGATTGCAGTGGTGTCTGGGACATTGGTGGCCTTGCCAGCCTGCTTCTGTGCTGCTGGGTGCTGCAGTCCTCACCTCACATACTCCCAGGGCAAGCCCAGTGGTGACATGGCACTTCATGTGACTGCACTTCTCACCGTGGGCTTCAGACATGTCACTGCTGGTTGCATTGACAGCATACTTAATTTATCACCAGCGCATCTACAAGACAGATGTATGAATTTATTGCAATTGGCAAATCATAAACCAGGCAAACACTGATACTTAGGCCAGCAAAAGCATAGGTGTTACACTGGTTTTGTATTTCAAAATCATGTAGAAAAGTCTGAATTGATTTCAAACTAGCTTACATAATCATAGAAGTGCCTATGGCACTACTGAGCTCTGAAAAGCAAAAGGACTGGCACAGCTTCACAGCTGGCTTCTTGGTCTCTGGTGGAGTTCTGGCTGGCCATGGCCACAGACACTGAGAGCACTTTACCAGATAGGTTAGCCAAGTGTACCTCTGGGCACTGCAGAGAGCCTCACTCCTCTTGAAAGTCCGCAAAGATATTTCCCTTTCTTATAAATTAAATTATATGTTTTCAGTGCTGCAACTGTCCCTGCTGATATCTCCCTTCCCTTGCTGATGCACAAAAACAAACTTTGGAAACTATTATCCTAAGAGAAGTGTGGAGCTGAGCTGTTAGCCTGGGAGCATCCCTTTTCCTTGCCTTGTCCCCTTAATAGCTTTTTTTACATGTGTCTATGAGTTGGAAGAGGAGACTGATTGTTTTATTCGTTTCCCTGGAGACCTTCAATACCATGATGTTTATGCTGTGAGTTTTCTGCCTGTGGACCTTCAGCATGGTCTTTTTTGCAGCTGCTCCCCAGCAGCACAGTCTCAAGCCTGAGGTAGGACAGATGCAGTTTGCCTCTGGTCCTCTCTACCCTGCTTTTTCCTTCTGGTTTCCTGTTCTCTTGCCAGTCTCTGACAAGTGTGGATGCATGATGTATAGTGATGCATGTAATAATTTTTAGCAGTTTTACAGATTTACTTCACTCTAAACTGCAGGAGAGATCAGAGAGTGGTAATGGGCCAACTGCTGTTTGGTCATTAGCATGGCTGAACCTTTAGGGAAACTCTCTGTGGGATAACAGTCTTAGCAGACAAAAATAAGTGGCTCCAAACACCAGAGCTGCCTTTCTCAGTGGTGCTCTCTGCAGCACAGGTATCAGGCTGGTGAGATGCTTGGTGTGAGAGCTGACAGACCTAGTGAAATTCTCAGGGCAGTCCTTTCAAACTGCATTTTCTTTATTTTTTTTCCCTGGATGGAGGAGCCGAGAGAACCTCCAGAGCTGCTCTGCTCAGAACTGAGGGTGAGAGACTGTGGAGTTTCTGCTGGGGGTGGGCTGCAGAAGGATGTGAGAAATGCTGAGTGTGGTACCTGCTTCTCCCCCAGGCTCTGTGCAGGTGATGCACAGAAAGGTCCAGTCGGTTCAGGCAGGAGGAAACATTACCTTTTCATGCCGCTTGGTCACGAAAGAAGATGTGATACAGGTAACCTGGCAGAAGGAGACAGACGGTGCTGAAGACAACATAGCAACTTACAGTATGATGAATGGCCAAAAGATAGCAGAGGACTATGTCAGCCATGTGAGCTTTGCCCACAACGAGTTACAAGCCTCAGCCATCTCCCTTCATGGAGTCACCCTCCAAGATGAAGGATGCTACAAATGCATCTTCAACACATTCCCCTTGGGGGCTGTCACTGGCAGGATGTGTCTCAAGGTTTACGGTAAGGCATTGTAATTACGTATGAGCTGTCATCTGAGGATCAAGTCACTTTCCCTGTGAAAAACCTTCCCCAACTTTGCTATGTTACTGTGGGAAAAGTGGCTCAGCTTCTCTGTCTCTCCCTCTCTGGTTTTATCTCTGATGGGAAACCAGCATTCAACAGTTCTTTAATTTTCTTCCCTTTCAAGTCAGCAACAGCGAGATTCAAAAGCTGATGTGTAACCCATGACTTCCTCCAAGTTTCCCTGGCCTCGTGCTGTGCTGACAGCTGGCTGGCCTCAGCCATGAACCCTGCACTCCTCTTCTTCCTTTCACTGCTGCTCTCACCTCCTAAGCCTGGAAATCAGGCACTTTTTTGCTTACTCTGCATTTGGTCTTAAAATTGCAAAGTATTCAAAAGGCAGAGAGGCTCATGCGTGACCAGAGTAGCTGGAAGCTATAGTAATAATGACAGTTGTTAGGCTGGTGTCAGGAAAAGGATGGGAAAAAAAAAGAAGGTTGAAATACAGCACAGCTTGTGGGATGCTGAGAGGTCATGTAGGGAGAAGATTAGGAGGGCCAAGCCCAGCTGGAACTTGATTTAACCATTAAAGTCAAGGACAACAAAAAAAGTTTTTATATATACATTGGGTGCATAAGGAGGGTCAAGGAGGGTGTCTATCAGTGGATAAATGCAGAGGGTAGTGTAGTTACAGGGGATGAGGATAAGGCAGAGGTACTCAAAGCCTTCTTTGCCTCTGTCTTTAATGTCAAGACAAGTTGTCCTCAGGATACCCAGCTCCTAGAGCTGGAACTTGGTGATGAGGAGATGAGTGAAGCCTCCATAATCCACAAGGAGATGGTTAATGATTTGCTATGCCAGTTGGATGCTCACAAGTCCATGGGCCCTGATGAGATCCAACCCAGGGTAATGAGGGAACTGTCAAAATAACTCGCTAAATCATTTGCAATCATCTACCAGCATTCCTGGATAACTGGAGAAGTTTTGGCTGACTGGAAATCAGCAAACATGACACTGATTTATAAGAAGGGTCAGAAGGAGGATCTGGGGAACTACAGGCATTTCAGCATAACCTCGGTTCCAGGCAAGGTCACGGAAGAGATCATCCTGAGTGCCATCACATGACGCATACAGGGCAACCAGGGGATCATGTCCAGCCAACATGGATTTATGAAAGAAAGGTCCTGCTTGACCAACCGGATCTCCTTCTATCACCAAGTGATCTACTTAGTTGATGAAGGGAAGGCAGTGGTCGTGGTCTATGTAGATTTCAGCAAGGCATTTGACACTGTCTCCTAGAGCATACTTCTAGAAAAACTGGCTGCTCATGGCTTGAATGGGTGGACTCAGCAATGGGTAAAAAAACTGGCTGGATGGCTGGGCCCACAGAGTTGTGGTGAATGAATTTAAATCCAATTGGTGCCCAGCCACTAGTGGTGTTCTCCAGGGCTCAGTATTGGGGCCAGTCCTGTTTAATATCTTTATTGATGATCTGGACATGGGGATTGACGTACCCTCAGTAAATTCACAAACAACACTAAGTTGGGTAAGTCTGTGTAAAAAAACTGGCTGGATGGCTGGGCCCACAGAGTTGTGGTGAATGAATTTAAATCCAATTGGTGCCCAGCCACTAGTGGTGTTCTCCAGGGCTCAGTATTGGGGCCAGTCCTGTTTAATATCTTTATTGATGATCTGGACATGGGGATTGACGTACCCTCAGTAAATTCACAAACAACACTAAGTTGGGTAAGTCTGTGACTTGATCAATGGGCTGAGGACAATGGCATGAGGTTCAGCAAAGTTCTGTGCCAGGCCTTGCACCTGGGATGTAACCACCCCATGCAATGCAAGCAGGGA